GCGGGGATTGTAAACTTCGAATGTTGTATCAGTCCTGAACACTATCTACTAGCAAATAACTTTGTATCTCCTGACTAACACTGCGTTCCACACTGAGCTTGCACATAAAAGCTTTCGCCTGAAGACGGACAGAAAATCTAAGGAAGTTTTCGAGTGGTATAGGGCTATGGTACGGCGCACATTTCATATTCCATAGGTTGATATATTTTACACTCACATCATATGTGAACGTTTGTTCAGCTGTACTGACATAGAACAGTCCGTCTACTGACTACTTGTTTCGGACCTTTTGGCTGGTTTTTCAATACACTATCCCAATGTATACTTTGCGTTATCTACGGCTACTTACATTATCTGACAAATTAGCTGTGTCTATGACGATAAGAGGAGCGATGGGGCTTCAGGAACCTTTTAAAAGGTGTAGTCAGATAAGGGTGGAAGACAAGGGTAGTTCCCCAAGTTTCGACCTGCAAAACTTTCAGTATGCGATTATATGGGACAACAAAATCCACGTTGAAACCAGAATTAATTTCTAGGGAAATATGTATTGAATAATCGGTACAAAGTCAATAGCTGTGGTTTAGTGTTATAAGGACCTTAGGTGACTAAATTATTGGAATTGAAAAGTTTACCTAGACCCGGTATAACTCCATCGAACTTATGGTGCAAAAGCATTACTTGTTATATGTTGGGCACTATTATCAGGATGCAGCATGGATTACGCACCAGAAGACCGCTTGGGTTTTCGACTTAAGATGTAAGCTGTATGGTGGATTAGGAATTGTCCTGGTGCAAACTGGACAGAAGCAGAGGCTGGTCATCAATTATTCGTACTTGTTATATACCCACGAATACGAGACCAAGAAAGAACACAACAGCATAGTCGGATGGGATAGTTTATTTGCGAGGTCGTGCCAAAATACCGATGCATTCCAACTAACTGGCTGGGGGGCGATTATGAGCAGCGCAACGTAATACGACGGCGTGCGAAACGGCGAGGATGCTTGACCGGGTGCCTTCAGCTTAGCGAGTCCAGTTAAACCACGAGGGTTAGAATCAACTTTGAATCTCGTCAAACCCTAGGCTATTGATTCCAGAGAAGCGTGTGACGCTAAAGCGGTTTATTGTTCTGTGAGCTCCAACATTTTGTCGACTTAACCGCGCTTTAGTTCGCACTCGGTTCCGAACGACAGCCAACCACCAGCACGGAAATGGCAAAAGATAACGTTTCCGTCGACAGCCGGTAGCTTCACTTCAGCTGCAGACGTACCTCAGTGGACCCAGGCCCTGCCTCCAGTCCCACTAGGTATTCGTAACACGTCGGAAGCTGGTGCTAGATGAGCCTCTGCAGAACTCCTCTATGGGACTAATCTTCGCCTACTAGGTGAATTTGTTTCCCCTTCAACTCTCAAACATGTTTTCGGCAGGAAGTCTTACTTGCCTAGGTTTACAAACGCAATGCGTCCAGTTAGGTCTACTCCTGCTAGACCTCAGATGACTGATTTCTTCCTCCATCATATCTTGCAAATGACATCTCACTTATTTATTCACCATGATGCCGTTCGTCGACCACTTGAACCACCTCACTAGGGACCATTCAGAATGGTCAGGCAGCGCGAGAAATTCTATATAACCGAGCGGAGCGGACGTGAAAACATTATTGGTATCAACCGTTTGAAACAAGCTTATTTCGAGGGCAGCCCCATCATAGGTAACGTTTCAGCTCACGATAGCCGACCGGCGAATACCCGAACTATCGAAATTCCAGATGATGCGCGTGATAATTGTTGTGATGCCTTAGTTTTGCATAAAACATTGTTATTGATCTGAACATTTTAACGTGTCATTCCCACACCATTTTTGCGATGTGACTAATAGTTTACTTTCTGACCCACTGTAATGCAAGTCGCCAGTTGGCCAATCTTTACTCTTACCATGCAAGTGCCTCGAATTGAGGACAAGGTCATTTCTCATATGTATACTTATTCATGTGTTTCGGGTTGATTTATTATTATATTCTAGGAGTAATAAACTCTCCCGTCATCCAGTTTCGGTTTTTTCTCTATTCGTCCCGGGGTTGCAGTCAGTGGCGCTCGCGTACTAAGTTAGCGGTCGGCCAAAAGTGCGTGTTATATTCTTTCAGCATACATATATAACTATTAGTGTTCCAAAGCGCAACAATAGTTCACAGACACATTGAACACCGGCGGAACAAAAAACACTATCAGGTCGGACCGCCAGGTTCCCGGAGTGCCTAAGGACACATTCAACCAAGTAATGTGAGCTGAAATGTGCCAACCATTTTTAAGTTCGATTTCTTCGAGGCGCTATTTTTTCATCTACTGGGAATGCGAAACTTTTCTTATATTTTACGTTTTTGTGTTAATTATTTTATTAGTACGTAATCATACTTTTTCAAAAGAGAAAATGGAAGTAGGTCCAAACTTTATTTTCGACGTACTTATTTATAAATAATTCCAATTTTTACGAAACGTTTTTGTGATATTGAGTATCCTTTTTTCAATTCCAGGTGCAAGGGGCAATGGATGGAACGTCAAAGGACACGGGACCGCGGTTGACTTAGATTTATTCTACTCTATTTTTCATTCTCCACAACAACCTAGAATAAGTTTAGACAACCAGGGGCCACTTCTCGCAGTGAGCCCACCAGAAGAGTTATGCCAATGGAGAAACCGCCGGGTTTTTACTTCTGGCTGGTATTGTCATAGGGTCCTCACGAACCCACACACACTTCTCTGGAATCAATAGCCTAGGGTTTGACGAGATTCAAAGTTGATTCTAACCCTCGTGGTTTAACTGGACTCGCTAAGCTGAAGGCACCCGGTCAAGCATCCTCGCCGTTTCGCACGCCGTCGTATTACGTTGCGCTGCTCATAATCGCCCCCCAGCCAGTTAGTTGGAATGCATCGGTATTTTGGCACGACCTCGCAAATAAACTATCCCATCCGACTATGCTGTTGTGTTCTTTCTTGGTCTCGTATTCGTGGGTATATAACAAGTACGAATAATTGATGACCAGCCTCTGCGTCTGTCAAGTTCGCTCTAAGACAATTCTTAAAGCCTGGAAACATGTGTGTATGTATGTTTGTTATATGACCCTGTCGAGAGCCTGAAATATCAACTTGGTATAAACAAGTCATGGCCAATCAGACAATTACTTTAAGGATAAGGGGAAATAAGCTACTGGGCATGCTGGAAAAATGGCATGAAAACGACAGTTTGAAAGTGCTAGGTTTGGTAAACAATACTTTATGTGAATCTAAGAGCTCTTCCACTGCCTCAACAGCCACTCCGTAAACGCTCTAGCTTCAGTGTGAAAGACGGGGGACAACTGATTTACATATTGCGATAACCACCCTAATTATTCGATGGACTTGCCCTACATTGCGCTTCTGCGTAGATGAGTATGGTCTTCAGTGGTGATTCCGGCCTCTGAAACTGTAGATCTGACCGTTGGAGGACCGCGAAAGGGTTTAGTTTGCAATATTGTAAGGCCACACTCCAACCGGATGCACCGTTTAGAATCCAAAGTTCAGTTTCACAAGTTCTCCCAGTATACTGAGACGTCCCGAATACTTCATTCGGATCTCAGAAGTTTCCCAAAAGCAATGTGTCTGTTGGATACAGAACCTTATAACCTGGTCGTCTCTCATGTGCTTTCTCGTTGCAGTTTTCCGTCTGAAGATTTCGTTGCTTAAAATTCTGTTTCATGCCTTCCAACGGGTCTCCCTTAAGTTTCTGCGTGGGTATATGACATGTTTGGATGACAGCAGCCAGTCGTCGGTTAGCATATTAAGCATGAGGTCTATTTGCAGGCACAGATCTAGTCCAGCAGCCATGAAGAAGGGTGCTTGCCATGTGGCTTTAGAAGGGGGGTGCACGATACTTCATCAGACGGTGAGATAAAGCGCGACGGCACCCCTGAAGGTTTTGTTGGTCCATACATGCCCGGAGATGCGCTTCAATAGCCCGGACGAATTGGTGGCCTCAAGAACCCACCTGTGGATGATATACGTTCGTCGGACCCTTCTGCCATGGTTTACTAGTTACTACACTTTTTAATCTTAAGCCAGTTGCATGCGTTATGACCAAATTGCCTGTATTTCGAGCTGAACACAGGAAACAATTTAACGGAACCAAGCTAGCGAGCTCTAGACGAGTTATCGTGTTCTTGCCCATAGTTTCTCGAAATTCCGTGACCAACACTCAGTCAGCAATATCGAAAAGCCATTTGACGTGATGAATCTGCAACAGATTTATGGTAAGTTTCTGCTACCACTAAAAACCCACAATACTAGTCTCAAATTTCCCCCTTCCATCCTAGTTTTGCATGCCATCTGGATACTCACATATTTTTCAGCCTCATTTATACTCAACATTTGATATGCAATGTGCTCTCACTGATTATATGACTCACATTTGCCAGGAAGCTGCTCATACTGAGTGATTGTACCCGTATTTATATATTTGTTGAGCCAATACACCGAGATGCACCAACTTGCTGGCTAAAGATATGTGAGAAAATGGGACAGCGTAACGCTAACATGTAGGAACTTGTGCGAGTGATGGATCATCTAAATTTGCTGTAATAATCTGCCAAAACTATTAATGCCAGGATCAATGTTGAATATCATCGGAGCTTAAGCTATTGCCTTTAGGCAGTAATTTGCCTCTACAAGCAAATATAAAGATGGACACTTCGGGTAAGTTATGTTCCTCATCAGTATTCAAATTGAATTAAAGTCATATGAAGCTTTACTGTTCGCTTCATCGGATTGCTTGCTGGATTTCAATATTAGGTTCCGTTGCGAGCATATAAACTGATCTGTTACTAAATAGAAACATTATTATTTTCATGCATTCAGTCTCGTTATAACAAGGACTTGTGATCCTCTGCATATATATGTGAAAACTAGTTATGCAAAGGCTTGTAATAGGACATCAGCTATTTAAATCTGTTACCTTGACCATTGGATTATGAAGATTTGTGTGCCACTTTTGACTTCGGTTGTACCTGACTGATGTTGAAGGTAGGAATGGATTTATAGCTGCTTTTTATGATCCATCATGACCACTAGATGTTAATAATATTCATTCTCAGTATTTACTGCTTTTCGCGCCATTTTTCATGCGTTGTACGATAAAAATATGATGGAAAAGGTGGTAAAGCTTGTTTAACACGACAGAAGCTATACATACTGGAGATTGGATGGATGATAACAGAATTTACTCAATTATAAGTTCCTAAAGCTAATGTATGTCGACGGATTTTATTTCCGTTCGGCTTTAGCTGCATAAAGCTGGCTTGATATTCATTTCGGGTAGCTGTGTTGTTCTTTTTAAGCATTTGATCATGATTCCGTAAATTGTTTTCAAAATCACTTCCTCTTATTTCCTGAGTACTAAGTTATTTGAACTCGTATGCGGTTTCAGTAGGGGAGAATTTCTGCAGCGTTATGCTTTCCGTTTACTGTCAGGTTTAAAAAGTGGGTAAACAACAACAACATTATCAACATAGGACCAGGCATTACTGCGTAACGGTCCGAGTTGCCACACCTCATATCAGCACATCAAGTAAAAAGGTAGTGAGGTGAAGGATGAAGATAAGTGAATGCAGTCAAAAGAAATATAAAGTATGAGAAGAAAGGAAAGAGGAGTGACAAAATAGTGAGATTCGGTATAGCGTTGTTAAGATGAGGATAATGTGTGTATACATCTGCGCCACTGACTTCGGTTCTGAGCCATATCACCTAGGGTCTCCAACCACTGGTTCCTCTTGTCCCGTGGACCCCAACCACCTAGTCTGCATCGTCCTACATGGCTTAAACCAACAGTCAGAGACTTCATACATTGGTGCCATGTTTTAGTCTGGCCACCTCGAGCCTTTTTCCAGCCTGAACCCACCTCAGCCAACATTGTGTGACGAGGCAATCGGTGACTAGGCATACGTAGTACGTGTCCCAACCATCTCAGTCGATGAAGGTCCACAACCTCGTCGACTGACTTACCTCTTCTCCCTAAAACTCTACACCTAACTTCTGCATTACTCACATGGTGACACCACGGAATACGTCCTATACTACGAAGGCGGTGGTGGTCAAATACCTGTAACCTTCTCATGTCTTCCACTTTCAATGGCCATGTTTCACAGCCATACAGTAGAACAGAGCGGACTGCTGTGCAGTACACGCGACCCTTAATAGACAAACGAATATCACGGCGGCGCCATAGGTGGCGCAAATTGGCAAAAGCCAATCGAGCCTTTTGTATCCGTGCAGAAATCTCATCGGCAACTAACCCACCGGAGTTGATCCTACTTCCCAGGTAAGTGAAGTGGTCAACACACTCAACCACTTCACTCTCTATTGTTAACCGCGGTACCGCTGAAGACCAGTCCTGGAGCAAAAATTTGCATTTGGGTGGTGAAAATCGCATCCCAAACATTCTCAAATTCCCACTCAAAGTGTTCAGAAGACTCTGCATCTTGTCAGCGTCTTCACCTAACAGGACTATGTCATCTGCATATTCTAGATCTAAGGAAAATTCACCTGTGGTCCGGTCAACGTCTTTGTAATTAGGTGACGAGACGGAAACCTCCATAAGAATATCTATGATAAAATTAAATAAGAATGGGGATAGTGGGCATCCTTGACGGACACCACTTGATGAGTATAGCTCCCTGGACAACTCACCATAGGCTCTAACATGCCCACAAGTGTTCGAGTGACAGTGACAGACACTGCCATAAGACTTCTCGATCAACGGAGTCAAATGCCGCCTTCAGGTCGAGAAATACAGCTATTGTCGGGCGTCTGTAAGCATGCCTATGTTCCAGGACCTGGCGCAGTGTGAATATTTGGTCGATACATCCACGGCCAGGTCTAAAGCCTGCCTGGTTTTCTCGGGCTTGCTGTTCCCGAGCTCCACTCAGGCGTCGGAGAATTATAGAACTTAGGATCTTAGACACTATGTTTGTCAGGCTGATTCCTCTGTGGTTATCACAAGAGGACTTCTCGCCTTTCTTGAAGACTGGGATGATGAGTGACTTAGACCAGTCGGAGGGGATCGTATTTGATTCCCATATACTGGCTAACACTTCCGTTAGCCTGACTAAGAGAACTCTACCACCATTCTTGTATACCTCAGCAGGTAGTCCGTCTGGTCCTGCTGCCCTTCCCGTTTCAGGCTACCTACCGCTTTCTCAACTTCTTCTAGTGTTGGGGGACCTGTCTCTATGTCCCATTCAGGGTCCGACTGGATAGCGGGCAGCGCAATGGTGGCTGGAGGCCAGTTAAACTGTTCCTCAAAGTGTTCTGCCCATCGTCCCAGTCGCCTTCCCTGCGAGTGAATCGCCGATCCGTCCTTCTCCGCTATAACCTCACTAACTGTTGTTGACCATTTCCCCCCAGTCTCCTTAATAAGTCTAAATAACTGTCTACTGTTACCGATCGCCGCTGCCTTTTCCATCTCTTTAGCCTTTGCTGCCCACCACTGTTCACGATCGTTGCGCAGACTTTTCGTCAGTTTATTTTTAAGTTGCGCTCGCTCTTCATTGTACTCAGAGCCTGCAGGGATGCATTCACGTGCATCCATTAGTTTGGAAGAAGCTGCTGATATCCACTGGCTCTTTTTAGCCATTATCTTGGAGTCGGCTACAGTCTCCAGTGCTGCTTTTACAGTAGACTGAAGATGGCACCAAGCTTCTTCTGGATGAGTGACAGTCTTTTGTTCCGATAACTGCCTAGCCAACTTCTCACTGAACACGGCTTTGGTGTTTTCGTTGTCCAGCAGAACTCGTAGTGGTTTTGTTGCCAAATTTTTTCTACGTCCATTGAGACGCAGGCATATACGTGCTCGGACCAACGCATGATCGCTGTCCAAACACGTACTCCAGAAGGAGCGGCAGTCTTCCACCGATCCTCTCCAGCGATGACTAATAGCAATGTGGTCTATCTGTGTCCATCGCTGAGTCGAGCTCGGTGGACGCCAGGTCAGACAGTGCCTTTCTTTATGTCTGAAATTTGTGCTGGCTAAAAATAGGCGGTTATCTGAGCATAGTTGTAATAGGCGATCACCGTTATCTGTACGTTCAGCTGGGATTCCGAAAGTGCCACCTAAGTGCCTTTCTGCCTCACTCAGTCTACCCACCTGTGCGTTGAGGTCACCTGCAACAACCACTACGTCCGAACGTTTGGCTTTCGAGAGGAGGTTAGACAGTTTATGGTAGAACTCGTCCTTCACTTCATCCGAACTACAGTCAGTGGGTGCGTAAGCAGAGATTACAAAGAGACAACGGCGAGTCTCACTATTCCTTTTAGTTCTCACTGTGCCGTTCAGCCTCATAGCGCAGAGGCGACTATCAACTGGGATCCAGTCTAGTAGTGAGTTTTCTGCCCTGGTGCTTAATGCTATACCTACACCTGCAAGACCACGAGAGCTAGCTATCGAATCTCCAGAAACTCGAAGGGTGAATTTTGCAGATTCACCAGATTGGTCAGGAGAGGTCAGGTGAATAACCACACTTGGGTCCTGTATGCGTGTCTCACAAACACAGCACACATCCATGCCTCGAGTTGCTAGAGTCTTTGCCAACGAAGCCTGTTGGCCAATTTGACGGAGGGTGCGGACATTGAAGGCTCCAATATGTAATTTGGAGCGTGGTTTAAGGAGACCAGGGACACTGTTCTGTGGACTCAGATCGTTGTCGAAGGCTGCAGAGGTAGGAGAAATTGAAGATGATGCAGCATCATTAATTAAGAGACGTGAAGGAAGATTAGAAGGTAATGATGGAGGAGGAGGATAGCAGTCAGAAGAAACTTGGGTGCTGACAGAGTTGTGAGGGCGGTTGACACTTCCCGGCTGCCCACACCGTGGAAGGCTATTTCTTCTTAAGGTACCTGAAAGAGATTTGTGTGACCGCAGAGCCCATCGGACATCTGCTTGAGGCCTGTCACACCCAGCCTTTTGAGTATGATTATTTTGAATTTTTGTATTTTTGGGGCCGGATGAGCGAAAGGAAACGACAAGTGAACCAACACCGCCGGCCCGGCAGACCGTGGGGCGTGGTGGAGTGTGTTATTTTTGGGGCCGACCTTTTCTAACCCCCCCTTCCACTGAGAAGGCAGCATCAGCTTGGCACTGCTGGTCATCCAAGGGAAACACCTTACTGCTGTCACACCCCATCCAGCTAGCAGCAGTACGACTTCGCCCTCAGACCCCCATCATAGTATAGCAATTTACACTATGACGGTAACTGCTTTTCGTCTAACCACTACCCAACAGACCTTTCTGGTATGGTAGGACCTCGAGGGAACAAGCGTTCCACCAGCATAGCTCGTTGGGTCATTGTGATATGCAAGCCCGACCACCACGTCAAGGTAGCAGCTATCGGTCGGGAAAAAGTGGGAAAAAGTCGGAAAAAGTGGGTAACAAGGATGCAGGACAGGTTTTACACTATAGTCTCATATTCAAGGAGTTATTATCTTATTCCCACTGGTCAGTGAAAGTAGAAAATAGTCGTATGCAAATAGCTCGGTCAGTTCTCATCAGTTAGGTGAACCATCCTGTTTTAATCCTAGTAATAGGCATGTCTTCAAAAACTTGGTTTCTCCTTAGATTTATTCACGAAATGAGGTGTTGTTCTCTGGTGTAAGGAGTTATAGTCGTTGACATTCCATTTGGAGAAACAGGCTCAATAAGTTTTTTCAGCTATGTCTTGCATTTTATCGTAATGCTCGTAGATAACTTATTTTGACAGTAGGGGGACGATAAGTCATACATACCAAAGTTATTAAAAGAACATAAGTCTCCACAATCAAATCGCTTGCTGCAGTAGGATATTACAAATAGATTAAGTCCATCTTGTCTATTCCCTTTTCGTTTCCAGATGGTGATCTACATTAGTACTGAAGTCTTTTAGTTCCTCAAATAGGGATGATGGTGTACCATTGACGAAATACTGGTAACGATGCACATTGTCTGACTTGCTAGGGTTGTTTTCCACTTGAGCCAACGTGTGAGTTCATCTCCA